TGAGATACCATCCTGGGTCTCAGGGGATCTTTTAATTAAAAAAAATTAAAGAAAGTAATCTTCATTTTGTAAACTATTTTAATTTTAAAGGATTTCTTATTCTGTAGAATGCAACCTAAGGAGTGTAATGTAGGGGATATATATGGTGTGTATTTTGACACTGGACAGACCTAAAGTCAAATTTCATTTTTATGGCTCACTACCATGTAACTTTGATCAAGTAGCTTGATCATTCCAACTTCATCCCATCTGAATTATAGCTCTGTGAGAACTTCACGTGGTATGGTATGTAAAGTCAGTACACAAGCCGAGTGTCAATCAAATGTTCATTTTCCTTCAATAGTAACTCTCACATTAGCAGAAAGGAGAAAATGCAGAGAACAGGCAACAACGCAGGGAGATTCAACACAGATCTTCTTAGATATATAGCTTAAGCTTCTTGAGAAAAATAATTCATTAAAGTTAGAATTTTAGATCTTAACAGCTTTTTGAGATTACCATCTCACTTTTATATTGGGCTAAATAATGTCTCTACCTAAATATGCTTGTATTCATGAACTCTCCAAGCATTTTCTTGAATTCAACTACTTTCTTTAATCTTCTATAAAAAAGACTATGTCAAAGCCAATATGGTACTTTGATCAGACCTGTCTGATAAATAAGTAATAGTTTTCTCTCTTGCTCTTATTAGCATCTACATCTGTTAGCCACAAGCCCATGATTCCCTTAACAAACTGACAGAAAGGGACTGACCACTCAATGTGTATTCTAAAAACAAATAAGCCATGCTTTAATGTTTCTGAAAGATATTGTTGCAGTACAGAGACAGGCAATCACTAGGTCATTCAAAAGGAAGTTTACTTGAATCTTCAGTACCCAAAAAGAAAACCCAAATCATTGTTTTATGAAGTCAGAAAGCATCTTTTAATATTTTATAGAAATCTCACACAACAATGTCGCTAGCATTACCGTTCATGCCATTAGCTTGTACATGCTCTACTTTGGAAGATTTCCTTTCATTTATTCAAACAATTCACTTGTACATTGTTTTCTTCCTTTGCGAAGTTCAGTGATATACTGTGATGCTTTTCTTCCCTGTGAGCAGAGAAAAACATATCCCTGGAGAAAGAGCAGTTTGGAACTCTTGCGTTCAGGGTGGTGGTTCCTGAGAGGAAAATTGTCTGGAAGGGATCAACAATCTTTAATTCTATCAGAGAAATTTAATCTTATAATGAAGCCTGAAAAATTCCATTTTTTGTTAATAGAAAGAAAACCAGCATGAAATATAGTGAGCAAACCATTTCCATTGGCTGCTAACAGTCACACTGAGTCATTCCAGACTGATTTAATTATACTGAAGACAGAGGGGTGAGCATGGACTGAACAGGCACAGTCAGCCAAGTGCAAACAAGGCACACAATTCAAAACTGCTACTGAGGAGGTATGTGCTTTAAGTGTTGAGCTGAAATGTTCTTCGCTGACTGTGTGTCACTCTCAGTGTCCTCACAGTGAGAAAGCAGTCCCACTGGACAGCATCTCTCTATTATTAGATATTGTATGTTTTTTACCAATGATTTCTCTGGAAACAAATTGCAATTCTATCAACAGAGAAATCAGTTAACTGGTGTGTTGATTCCCTTGAGTCACTTCTTAATGACTGTGGAAATCCACTTTCTATGATCTGAATATTTGTGCCCTAAAAATCCATATGCTGGAAACCTAATCATCAATGTGTACCATTAAGAGATGGTGGCTTTGGGAACTGATTACAGAATGATGGCAGACCTTGCCCCCACCGTAAATAGAGCTGGTTCCTATGATTAACTGACGACTTGTAACATGTAACACCTGGCTGAACTGAATCAGTGTGGTGCGGGGTGTGGATGGCCCAGCTGAGCATTATTGCCAACAATATAAAAAGGAGAACTGGAGAGGGATAAAGAGTGCTGTTGGTTCTCCTGTTGCCATTGACTTTCCTAGAGGAGCCTGTTGAGTTTTGTTATTAACATGAACTTGACTGTTATCATTGGAGGAGTTCCAGGACCTTGTTGTCACTGAGAATGGCTGCAGTTCACTTTTCAGGAGCTCTGGTCCTTACTTTGAGCATTGTTTCCTGGCTGGAGAGGAAGATGTGTGCTGTTCAGTCTCCAAAAGAAGCTTGTCATGCTGGTTTCCTGATATGCACTCAGTTGTCATTGGTGAAGGAGCTCAGGACCACATCATCACTAAGGATGGCTGTGGCACATTTCAGGGCAGCTCTGGTCTTTCCATTGGTCACTTCCAGGATCCAGTGCAAATCCCTCAGTCTACTGGTAGAGATCCTTCATCCCATTGGCACAGACTTTCTAGTTCCGCTGCTGGCCTTTAGGCCTTCCCATTGCAGATTCGTGAAACAGACTGGCATGAGACATTTTCTCTGAGCCTCCAGTCGGACTCGTGGGAGGTATTGTCATGGGCTCTAAGTCTTTACAGGACTCATGCAGGACATTGCTATGGGATCTAGGCACTCAAATGGATTCTCTGGGTCTTTAGTGTGTGGACGGATATCCTGCACTCCTTTGTGTTTGACTCTTTGGGTGACTATGATAAAGTAATTCTATAAATTATGTGTCCTCTATTAAATTGTCTTCCTTATAAACCCTAAGTACAACAGTTCTTTTGTTTGAAAAGATTAAGTAAACTGTCTTCCTTTTCTACCATGAGAAAATGTAGTAACAAGTCAACATCTATGACTCAGGAAACACACTTTCCCTGGGCACTACAATTTTAGACACTGAGGCTTCTATAACTGAAAGAAATTCTACTGTTTATGAACTATATAACTTATAGCATTTTACCATAGAAACTTGCACAGACTAAGATGTAATTCCTGTGAATTTTTAGAAAACATCCCTCATTAATAAGTTTCAGGAACATTAATAAAGTACATATGGAATCTACCCTTGCCTTTTTTGCTCAAGGATCACATTGTTATCAAGTTGTTCAAAATAATTTTGTATACAGTGATTCCCATCTCCAGCTAATCCCTATGGTGCTAGACTTCAGAGGACTTAGGTGCCAGTTCCACCTCAGGAGACTCCAGTGCCAGGTAAGCCCATTGAACTGAGGCTCTTATAGATTCAGACTTTAAATCCACCTCAGGTATAGCCTAACCTTTGTGCATCCAGGCTTCATGCCCAGTTCTGCAGAACAAATTCACAACCACAAACTAGCGGGTCTAAACTCCAGGCCCAGCCCTGAAGATGAGGTAGCAGGCCTGCCAGTCTACTTACCCTGGTGCCAGCCCCAGCAACAGTAGAATTCCAAAAGGAATCTGCTCATGATCTGCCTAGACTCTCTAAAGAGGGTAATGAATGGCTTCCACAGACAACACCAGTCGATGAAGAATGAAATTAATCCCTCCTTCCTCAAATGTGCAGACCTCAAAGTAGTACGACAAGAAATGTGAAAAACAAAGGAAATGTAACACCACCAAAAGAATGTAATTTCCCAGTTGCTAACTAAAAGATGGAAAAGGATGTGCTACCTGACAAAGAATTCAAGCCTTTAAGAAATCTCAGTGAACTTCAAGAAGAGAACAATTTCAAAGAAAGAAAAGATAGAAGTAAAAGAAAGGGAGAAAAAGAAAAAAATATGCGGTATACATTTTATAATGAACATTATAATATATATTTATATTAAGAAAATTCTGAAGCTAAAAAATACAATGAAGTAATTACTATAGAATATAAATAACAAAATTGATCAAATAAAAGAAACTGAAATCAAAGGCAGATTATTGGGGCTGGGATTTAGCTCAGTGGCATAAGTACCTGCTTTGCAAGTGCATGGTTATGAGTTTGATCCCCGGTACTGACAAAAAAAAAGGCAGATTATTTGAAAATATATAGGTCAGAGAGACAAAACAATGAAAAGGATGAAAATACTATGTGTGATTTGTGGAAAAGCTTTAAATAAACAGCCATTTCAACTATAGGGGTTCAAGAAGGAGGAGAAAAAGAAAGGAAAAGATTATTTTAAAGAAAAATAGAAGCAGAAAACTTCCCAAATTCATGGAAAGATAAATATCCAAGTACAGGACAGTCAGTAGTTTCAAGATTGAATCCAAATATGACTACAGCAATACATGTTGTAATCAAAATGTAAAAAATCTAAAACCAAAACAGGGAACCAGTAAGAAAAAAGTAAGTAAAAAACCAGTAAGAAAAAAGAAGCAAATTACTTGTAAGGTAGAACCAATAAGGCTTGTAGCCAACTTTTCATCAGATATTTTCAACCCAGGAGAGAATAGGACTAAATATACAAGACTAATGGGAAAACCATTCCCATTCAAGAATATTATACCCAGCAAAGTTGTCCTTCAGCAAGGAGAGGTGGTCTTACCTAAGAAACAGCTGAGGAAGCACAACACCATGATACCTGGCCTATGGAGAAATTCAAAAGGGAATCCTCTAAGCTAAAATAGCAGTACACATGTGGGGAAGGAGAGAGAAGGTGAAAAAAGGATCGTGTTATGTATGTATATCAACTCCTCACAAAGAATGTAATAATTATGTACTATAACCATGTACCAATAAAATAAAAACTCAATTAAACAAGAAAATATAAAACTCACTGGTAATAACAAAATGTTTTTTGGTAGGTCTAGTGAGACATAAAAATGTAGCTTTGGGTACTACACATGGTTCTTTGTCCATTCATTGTTCTGTAGTACTGTTTACCTGCTCAGTTTTCCAGCTACAATGAACTGAGCAGATTTGCTCTTCCATGTCCTTCCTTCAGGATGTTTCTGCTTTGAAGTTAGCTGATAATAGACTGAAAATGTAAGCCAATTAATTCTTTACTCTTTTACATTGTATCCCACCATGGCAAAACAGACTAATACGGCGAGAGAAATGCAATTTAATATTACAATGAATCATCACTTTATAGCTGTCAGGGTGACTATCATCAAAAAGCAAAAGGACTGGATATCAACAAAAAAGAAATATTTGGATGGTGGAGGCGGGGGATTACTGGTAGGTCCCTTTGGACAACATGTAGCACTATTGAAACATCGGTCTGCCTTTATTCACAGATAGTTGAGCTTTTCAGCTGGAAAGCCTTTCTTTTTTTCTTTCAGCTTACTGAACTTATGAAACTATGGCAGAAGGAGAGACGGAGTCACCTGGCCCCAAAAAGTGTGGCCCATATGTCTCATCTGTCACTAGCCAGAGTGTAAACTTGGTGATTCGAGGAGTAGTCTTGTTTTTTATTGGAGTATTTCTTGCATTAGTGTTAAATTTGCTCCAGATTCAGAGAAATGTGACCTTATTTCCACCCGATGTAATTGCGAGCATCTTTTCTTCTGCGTGGTGGGTACCACCATGCTGTGGCACAGCTTCAGCTGTGATTGGATTATTATACCCCTGCATTGACAGGCATCTAGGAGAACCACATAAATTTAAAAGAGAGTGGTCCAGTGTAATGCGGTGTGTAGCTGTCTTTGTTGGTATAAATCATGCCAGTGCTAAAGTGGATTTTGATAACATACAGTTGTCTGTCACACTGGCTGCACTCTCCATTGGACTGTGGTGGACTTTTGATAGATCTAGAAGTGGTTTTGGCCTTGGAGTAGGAATCACTTTCTTGGCAACTGTGGTCACTCAACTGCTAGTTTATTATGGTGTTTACCAGTATACATCTCTAGGTTTTTTCTATGTTCGCTCCTGGTTACCATGTATATTTTTTGCTGGAGGCATAACAATGGGAAACATTGGTTGACAATGGGCAATGTATGAATGTAAAGTTATTGCAGAAAAATCTCATCAAGAATGAAGAAGGCAAAAATATATCTTTTGTACAGAAAAACAAGAAGAAAAGAGCATGTAAATTATATAAACAAAGTTTTGGACTGTAAAATTTCCAGGATGCAGTTTTTCCCTTGATTGGTGTATATAGACACACACACACGCACGCACCCACACAGGCACACACACAAAACACACATTACTACTGCAATCTGTGATTGCTTCATCTGTAAATCAGTTATAAACCTTTATGTATTTGACTTAAAAACTGTAAGATATATGTGCATTACATTAAAAACATTAATTAGTAAATGCGTTTTTTAATTTCTTAGATATACTATACATTTTATTGCAATGTTAATGTGCCAAAATATTCTATTACTGTCATCTAAGTGTTTAAGAATGCTTTGAACAATTTATAAACTTAGTGAAATAAAATAAGAGGAATGCCAAAAATAAAAAGCAAATGGGAAGCCGGTAAAAAAAAAAAAAGAAATATTTGCACACCGTTACTGGAAAAATAAAACATTTTCACACTGTACTATAAACTGGTGCAGCCACTATGGAAAACAGTATGGATGTGCCTCACAAAATTAAAAATAGAATTAAAATATGATCACATAATCTCATTACTGCATAGGTGTCCAAAAGAAAGGCAATCTATACGTCAAAAGTTATATATACATCAATGTTTATGCTGCTTATTAATAATAAACAAGATAAGGAATCAGTTTAAGTGTCTATAACAAATGAATAAAGAAAGAATAGAACATACACCATAGAGTACTTTTCAGTCTTGGAAAAAGAAAGAAATCCTGTCACACCAACATCGATAAATCTTTACACCAACATCGATAAATCTGGAGGACATGAACTGAAGCAAGCCAAGCACAGAAAGACAAATGATGTCCGATTTCACATAAGCAAAATCTATAAAAGTTGAAATTACAGAAGTTTAAAATAGTGTTAGGGCTCGGGTTAGGAGTGTTGCCAAAATGATACAAAATTTAAGGTAAACAAGAAGAATAAGCCCAAGACACCTATTGTAAAATGTGATAACTATAGTTAATAACAACAGACTGTGAGTGTGAAAATCACTAAATGAAGATTTTAAGTTTCTCAACAAAATATTTTAAGTGTATGAGATAATTAATATGCCAATTATCTTGATTTATCCATTCCTAAATGTTTGCATATTCCAAAACACCATGTTTTACATTTACTTGTCCAGTGTAAACAGAGAAAAATAAATAAAATAGCAAAATACTAGTATTGGAGTCAAGAAATTTGGAACTTATCTCCAGTTCAGCTACACTGGTGAACAGATTGCTTCTGTTCAGAAAGCTTTCTAGGCAACATTCTGCATTTACCTTTTCTCACATGTAAAATTAAAGGACTATCTGTGATCACTAACAAAGCATTGAGTTTGCCCATGTTTGGGTTTCTATGGCCTATGATCATTCACCAAGAATCTACAAGTTACTTAAAACCAGGTACCCTGGAAAACCCAAAGAAAACTATATTCTTGAGTTATACTTTTAAAGTAGAAAGTGCATAGAAGTAAACAAAAGTATATGACTGTGTCCAATGTCTTCTTCAAAAATCTTGTAGCAATTCACTTTATAAAAAAATTACACCTTCATAAAAATATGCTTCAAAGAGATTGTGCTTAGAGTTCATAATTTTTCAACCTTTAACTGCTAACAGAATCAGAGAAGATATGAAAGTTAATCTGTATCCTTTTTATTCTTTGTTAGTTTATTTATTTGTATGTTTTTCCTATTTGTCAAGTCCCATGTGAATATAAGCATTATTACCTTTCACTTGGACTTCCGTGGAATTAATGAAGTACTGCAATAGCCAATCATAATTTGTGTTTCTAGTTTAGAGTCCTGTCAGGCTTATAATTATTTTTAGTGCAGATCCACTAGTTCAGTAAATGCCTTCATGACCCTCAGAGCTGAAGAAGCCGCTGCTTATGCAGAGCTTGTCTTCTCTCTGCACCTTCTTCCTGGCCACGGCTTATAGTAAACATCCTTTTGCTCCATGTTAACAGAGTTGCCGGCAGAAGATCATTTATTAGGTAACCACTTGTCTGTGAAAAATCCTAATTGCTTTATGTTTGTCTAAGGGAGGAAAATGGCACTGCATGTGAACGCTGAATGAGAAGAAAGCAGAGATGCAGATGAGGAACAGGAATTTAAAAAAAAAAACTGATAGATCAAAAACTTTGTTAAGTGCACCAATACTTTGAGGGCTAAAAAGAAAAGATACACTATCAGCTATAATAAAGATTTTAAAAGCCCATACTTTATAGTGTTATCAATTTAAAGTTAAAGTAAGAGAAAAATAATTTATGAACATTACAGGGCTACATTTTTTCTGTGGTATCTTAGTGCCTCCTGCTGATCTTCAAACAATAGTTTTTTTCTTTTTCAATAGTTTCTATATTGCTCCAACTTGGGTTATTTTTCTATTATGGAAATTCTTTTTCAGAGAATTATCTTTTCTATCTATTGCTCTGGTCCTCAGTATTATTGCACATTAGTATCTCTTTCATAATAGGATAAATGTGATTAGTCCATATCCATAATCCATAAACCAATAGAGGGCAAAGAATTTGAAATTGCTACTACATATAACTGAATTGGTTGAACCAGGTCTACACCCCGCAAATCGTGTCACCCTCCCCACATCCACTGGAATAGAATCAAGATTGGCCCAGCCCGGGGACACTTTCAGCCCAAAGTGTGTTAACGTGAATTAAGGTAGGGAAGCATGTAGAATTTGAATTTCAAATAAACTGATAAACATGATACTTAAGATAAATATATCCCATGGACGGTTTGGAGCATAGTCTTCACAGTTTATTAGAAATACAGTTCTGACCAGGTGTCTTTATCTTGCAACCCTCCCAACATCTTTCCCAAAACTTGATTTAATTCTACATTTCAGCAGGAGGAACCCCTGTGCTGAGGAAAAGGCTAAGCCCAGCACCCTGGACTCCACACTATTCTTGAAATGTAAAACTGCTGAAGCTCCTCTAAACCATATCAGTGGCTATTTTCATCCCCAGAACCCATTCTGATTGGAACAGAAAATCACTGGGATGACTGGAACTAGATAAACCTCCAGAGTAGAAAAATTGAGATTGCGTGGTTATTTACTTCACCAACTCCTCCCTTCTTTCAACAAAACTCTTTGAATGTCAGGTTTGGCACTTGATGTTTTCATAATAGCTGGATATAAAGCTATAAAAAAGATACACAGACTTAAAAAAGAAAATTGCCAATAAACCAATAAGTGGCATGTAACTTCATCGTAAATATATCAAAGTATATTTTATTGTATACACTGTCCGAATTTTAAATTATGTTTTCTAATAATAAGCAGTTACTTTGGGAAAGTGGTGCTTCCATTTTAGACTCCTTGGGAGAGGGTTACATTTCATCCACTATTTTTGAATTTGAATTTTTTGTGTGGTAGTTTTAGCATCTTGGTGTGTTATGATTTCCTGGAGCCACCAGATGTGGAGACATTCTTTTTTGTTGATGTCTCTCCTGAGAAAATAATTCATTTTTAAGAGAAAAAAACTTATTTATCAGAATTCAAACAGCTATTAATGCACATGACCTGCAAATATCTCATGAAGATATTTTTTAAACTTTGAAAACTGGCAAGTTGGTTCAGTGAGAGTGAAAGCTTTGACTGAGAGATGAAACTGACAAGAACAGTCTTACACCAAGTGCTAAAAAGTGCCCTGACTTGGGGGAATATTGGTGGTTTGATGACATCCATCTTGGTATATATTTCTAGAACAGTGACTATCACATTGTTCCAGTTGCCAAAATGTCATGAATTTTAAAGCTAGATTCAGAAAACACTATCAAATCTAGCTGTGAAATTTCCTTTGACAAGTGGAAGAACAATATTGCATGCTCTCCTTTGTGTAAGAACTGCTATTATTAAAACAATTTAAGTCACTGTTGGTTTTTCTGGGCCAGTCATATGTTTGGAATGCCTAATTGTACATGCTAAATCAGCTGAGTCAACGATGAAACTTAGGGAAAATTTTGAAGGGAGAATTTTGAAAGCCTTGTGGCTGACCTTTTAAAATCTAATTTAGCACCCCACCAAGATTTTTCCATATATATGAGAAGCATTAGAAGACAGTGATGGTAGTATTGCTCATGTATTTACTATGACAATAAAGTGTACAATGAGAATATTTGAAACTGGGAAACTGATGAGACAGTTTGAATCAAACATTGTAAGTTTGACAGTGAGGTTGTCGCCAGAGATAGCAATAAACCTGAATAGGAATTACATTTGGAAGGTACAGTATACTGGAAAACAGAAACTTGGTATTTTTGTCAAGAAAACCTGGAAAGCTATGGTCAATCTTGAGGCTCCATGATTCTCTGCTAATCAGAAAATTCTCCTTATACCTTTCAGATACATCAGCAGTTGGTAAGGGAGTTATTTACATTTCTGAGGAAATTCTTTTCATACTAAGGGCATTTAATGTATTTTTTGTTTTATTTATATATGCTTTACTCCAAGCTTTGTTTTCAGAGAGTATTTAAGGCTCATAAACTTATTAATATGACTAAGTTTTACAAAATTTAAACTCAAATAAAGGTTGGCTTTTATAATTATTTGTTGTGACTTTTTCTCAAGTATTTATCATCTTTTGTAACTGGGTACAAATTTCATTATTTATTATTTTATTTTTCAAGGCATTTAATGAATACCAAGTACATTAAAATGAATAAAGCCCAATGAAGGCACATCACAATAGTTTGAATAAAATAATTTTGAAGGCAGAAAGAAAACTAATACATTACATAGAAAATAGAGGAATTCAGCAATGAGGAATTATGGAGGCATGAAGTGAGTAGAATGAAATGCTTGAAGGGCTAATAAGAAAAAACCCAAAAACCATAATTCTGCATCCAGTAAGAATAATTAGAATGCCATTCACACATAATGGCAGACATTAAAAAAAGAAAATCCTGTCACTTTTGACAACATGGATGGACCTGAAGAATGTTACATAAGTAGAAGTAAGCCATACACAGAAAGACAAGTGCTGTATTCTCTCACTTACATGTGAACTTGAGGTAGTTAAACATTAGGAGCAGAGAGTAAAATGGTGTTTGAAGGGCTGGGGAGGGGGGTATGAGGCATTGTTGATCACATGATACAAAGTTTTGATTTTAGAAGATAAATAATTCTGGAGCTTTGCTGTACAACATGGAGCCCATGATTAACAAAGTAATGTTTTACACGTAAAAATTTGCTAAGAGAACAGATCTTGTGTGCTCTTCTCACAGAAGGGGACTGGACAGTAAAGAAGAAGGGTGATGATACATTCAGGAACCTGGTACTGAAGGTGATTTGATGGTGTCACGGTTGTACAATCATCTCCAAACATAAAAAATTCTATTTTAAATTTCCGTAGCTTTTTG